GAAGTGAGGAAAATGATGGGTTCGCTTCTCCCCAGTACTGAGAATAGTGTTGCAGGGTAAGGTGATTTGCAGTGGTTTGCCATTAGCGTCTATTTTACCCTTCCATAACACCTTTTAAGTTCCCCATGAGTGGTTTATCTGCCTACTGGGTGTAAAAAAGTTACGTGAACAAAAAAATAGACCGTTAAGAGCTTCCGGTTATGTAATATCGCCCTCCGTGAAATTACATGCACATCTTGGTGCTTCTTTATCTAGAAGTTGTGATATCCTGGGTTCGCAGACAGGTGGTTTTGCTTCCCGCTTTAATAAGAGGCGTTACGTAATTTCCTGCGGATTAAACTCGCCCTGTTATCACCTCCCTATCTACGGACCAAACAGTCAATAAGGGGACGAAAAGATTATGGAGTATTTGTGTGAGTGCGGAGGGTTTGTGACCTATGAAAAGCAATCAAAGGGTACGGTTCAAAACCATAGCATTTTCAATCTAACGATACAACTTGTCAGAAGATTTACAAGTCTTTAGTAACGGGTGCTTGGTCAGTACCAAGTTACGTCTAGGGTCCCGACAACTCCCTAGCGGGGGCGTTACCTTTACAGTCGTGTTTACCAATGTCCTGAGTCTGCGATAATCGAACAAGACCTTGTGTGTTGACTGAGATCATAAATGCGAATTATGAAGACTTTGGGAGACGTTCATGTCCACCCTTCGCAAATTCCGAATATAACTCGCGCAGTCTACACATAATTAAAAGATGCTCACAGGCTTCTAGCATGTTCTTCTCTCGGTTTGTTTTTTCTAGGAGAATATCTCATTCTCTTTGAACTTGACAGTCACTTTTGTAATTAAGCAATCTTTAGGGGACAGGCGCCCAGTTCCATGTGCGGTGTGACACCCATGGATACACGTTCGTGTGTATATTACTTTTAGAGTCGGAGGAATTTGCGTCGTCGATTGACGATTCAGTAACCACGACGCAGTCAACTGGTTGAGTAACTATCCGGACAGCCAGGAAGACAGAAAGAGCGAGTATGTATTTCTAATGTAATCCAGTAAATCTAATGAATAGCGAGGTGAATGGTAGCCCTCAATGACTTTTGCGTCGGTGGTACTTAATGTTCTTACCATCTTTAAGTTAGCATTTAGATTTGAAAACTTATGGAAGGAAGGGAGGGGAAGATTATATAGTATGATTGTAATTCACCCTACGAGGGACTGATGGTTATGGCCGCAGTTGCCGAGAATTCTTCTTTTTATAAAACAACTTTCTAAGTTTCGTTATTGTTGTCGTTTGCCGAGAAATTTCGTTCCGTTGCAATCGGATTGTTACATACACAAATTGGTCCGTCCATTCCGTACGGCCCCTTGTTGTCGACCTTTAATCGGTACAGCCGAATTTGCGACGAGGAGGATCGACAAAAGACACTGTGCAGAGTACGGCTACCCGCTGCTCAGGTGCCGCCTGTAATATTGTAGTGTTATTTGATTTGTATTGTGATTTGATGTGCTGATCGAGCAAGTGTGATAGATACAGAGAAGCATGGAAAATTACGCATCAAATAAACTAAATTCTACAAATTGTAGAAGGCTAAGATAAATAAGATTAGAAATCTCGAGGAGGATACTATGTGTTCGCCTACCCCCGGGAAGTATTTTTTTTAAAATATTGAAGTTAAAAGCATCAATCTGGTGCACTTTGAGAGCAACATTAAGATATCTATGGATACATCTCTCAACACCCAGATGAAACACAACTGTAAGCAGATGTTCTTTTTCTTTATGGATATTTTACAAATCACTCCCCTTTCAAATTGTAATCTTGTTTTACTGCCATATAGTATTTCATAACTGTTTTTCCTTTATTCTCTTATTTTTTTTATATGATCATATGAAGGTGTGCCGCGGAAATAATCTTTTGAATAATTTGTGACCAAACCGTTTGAGACCCACTGAGATAACTAAACACTAGAGTCCTTTAGCTCACCTGAGCCTCTCAGCCTCTCTCTCAGCCTCTCTCTCTCTCTCTCTCTCTCACACTAAATGCGCTATTTCCGCACGCACGCACGCACACACACACAAACACACACACAGAGCCGAGCTTGAATGACACAAGAACACTTATATTTCCATGCAACTCTCTGATTGGTCTGGTGTCCTGCCTCTGTTGCATTCACTGAACACGGGAAATTACAGTCCTGCCGTCCTCTCTAGTGTCATGAGGAGGTTGAGGTAAAGCACGGTTAATGTATTATATAATTGAGGTAGAATTGTCCGGGGCTACAGAAAAAGCATTCGGGGCAGGCCAAAATATTATTTTACCAACAATGTGGAATTTATTGGCTCCATATTACACATATTATGCACAGCAGGAGCAGCAATAACCAAATAATAATTCAGACAGGGGAGCTCCGCACCCCCTGCCTGCCGCTAGGGGGTGCTGGAGCGCCCTCAGCACCCCCCTTCCCGCGCCCATCCCAACCACATCCATAGCCTGTCCCAGTTTTACACTTAACTTACTGTACAACGTCTATTATTTGGTGCTTTATAACTCTTTGTATTTGCCCCCATAATGTATTTTCTAAAGATCTGAGCCATGGCGACAAAAAGATCCCTGTCCACTCCTAGGCCAGGCAACAAGACAACCATCTGCCATAGTTAAGACTAAAATAGAAAAAGTGGAACTATACGCACCGTTTTTCCAAAACAAAACAACCTCCTTTCTCACAGACTAAGAACCAAAAAGCCACTACAAAAAGTAAACAGAAGTTAACGAAGGAATTAATGCCATTTGAGACGCAATAACGAAGCTAAATAAATGTGTCAGTAGCATGTTAGCTAGCAAAGCAAGCGGTCGACTTGTACGCGGCAGAGATCAAAGAGTGTAAAACTCAGCTACAAACCATGGAGAGACCGCACGCAGAGCTACTGGAAACAGCCCTGGATAAACGATAAAGAAGGTAAAGATATTCATGCTTTGGTTGTTAACCTGCTGGTTAAAATCAGTGGGGTAAAAATAACTAAGTACATTTACTCAAGTACCGTACTTAATTACACTTTTAAGGTAGGCCTACTTGTACTTTACTTGAGTATTTCAATGTTTTGCTACTTTGTACTTTTACTCCACTACTTTATTTTGTGAGTTACTTTGCAGAATGCGATTAATGATGTGAAGTATAAACAACACTTACGTAATAAGAGTAAATTCACAAGCTACACTGCAGTATACAAAGCAATTACAATTAGCTCCACCTTTACCGTTCTGTGATAAACACATGAATGCATCAATAATTATAATCAAAACATAATATATCTTTCTGAAATGGGCATATCAGCATTACGAGTAACTTGACTTTTGCCTGCTTTAAGTATACAGTATGTTGATGCTTGTACTTTTACTTAACTTTTCTTGTCATAGCTTTCCTACATTCTGGTAGCCTACTTCTACTTTTACCTAAGTACTGCTTAAACCTCTGGTACAAATTTCCCCCAAATTACTGAAAGTGCCACAATCATAATCATATCTGAAGGTCATTTTAAACTAGATAATTGTGCAGATTGTGGGCCCATGCACTTGCAAGTGTATCCAGCAGATGTCAGCAGAGACTTGCATTTGGAGCCAGAGGCTTGAATCACATGTCGGATCATCAGAACGCAGCGCCGAGAGAAAGTGATGCTGACCTTTTCTCGAAGTTGTTTAAATCTGTAGACAACCACGTTTACAATGAGAGACTTCATACACACAGGCGTCAAATACACATGGGAGATGTTATTGATTGCTATACAGACTTATGTTGTTATTTACACAATCTGTGCAAAAGAGTCTGATATTTGATCTGTGAACAAAAACATTATTTAAATGATCTTCATCAGAGGATTAAGGCTATTATTTCACATATTTTAATGTGTGATATATAGTTGAGTGAAACATTCGAATTACACACATATTTTGTTATATTTTAAACCCTCTCCAAACCATCTGATTCAGATCCTGTTGCGTGGAGAAGTGAAATGTCTAGGTGCGTTTGTGTAGGCCCACTAAAATTTCAATAGGGCCTACTGCATAATGCCAAATACTTTTTATTGAAGACGCAGCAACATGTTCAGTCAATCCTTTGTAAAGTGAGCTATCAGACAAGCTTCAGCCCAAAATCACACTGAATTAACATTAAGTTCCCTTTAAAAAACATGTCACTGTTCTTTCCATGCTGTCTGTTGCAGCAGACGATCACTTCTCAGATCCAGAACTGGCGCTCACATTGACTTTAAATATTCTATGAACTGGGAGTGTCCTGCAATTTATGCCATCCTAATTTATGGTGATGCAGTTCACATGTGGCGCAACAGAGAGCAGGGGAAAATGGGAAAATGGCAATGTGGAAAGTTGCTCGCTATGCTTTAAGGATTCGCTGAAGCCTTTGATAATTGTTTACCTGCTGTGTTATTCACCTGCTGTGTGGGAAGTGTCATGCCCCACACCCCGCTATACTCTCTCTCTCTCTTTCTCTCTCTCTCCCTCCTCTCTATCTGCAGTGCATATCTGTGCGCAAATGTCTACGCACGTTTCATGGCTCCGAAAGACAAAGAAAAACAGTCATTAGTCTGTCGTGTAGCTTCACGTCCTTGTGATTAAGGCCCAATCTGCAGAGAAAAAGGCGTTTACGCATTTTAAGATTCTTTACAGCAGCCTTAGCGGCTTTTTTAGATCCATATTGCGCCAATCACCGCGGTCATCAGGGGCGCACAGGTGGCTCTCCAAGGTGCCAACACATCTGTCTGCGCAGCTCAAACTAACTGGGAATTTGGGCACAACTGGATCACAAAAAAAACCTCACAACAACCCTGGGCTTTGCTGAGCCCCTTCGCTCCGCGGTGTTTGATTAGTGTAGGGAGGATGGATTTGCATGCACAGTAGTGTTGGGAGGAGAGGAGGGACATGGGCGGGGCCGAGGCGCCTCTCATTTCCCCTCCATGCTTAGCGGGGCAGCAGGGCTGGAGAGACCTCCGGGGAGCACAGTCGCCAGTCCAGCACGGAGACCCGCCTGGCCAAAAGACCGCGCCTCACACTTGCCAGGATTGCCAAATATTCCTGAAAAATATACCTGCTATTTATGGCATGTGGCTTGTAACTTTACTCCTGCTGTACTCTCTCCAAGAAGGTAAGAGGGGAAAAAAGGAATGCTCGAAATATTTCAAATCTTGTGCACAAGGAGTGTTGGGAGTGTTTAAGTTGAATGAAAAGTGAAAATGAATGGAAAGCTTAATTTAATTGCGGTGTGTTGAATGATGTGTGTGGCTTGTGCTTTGATGTCGGAAGCCTTGTGCATGAGGAATTGATTTTAAATGATTCTTTAAATCCAAATGTTTAAACTGTTGGTGCTGAACTACATTTTGAGAAAGTAAAATGCTTGAAGTTATTTGTTTTACCTGGCTGTTTTGGTGTTTTTACGTAGCGGCCTCAGATGGTGCTGATAGCACGGATTGTTTTCGCATTACCAACTCCAGTTATGAATATGTAAAATGGCTGAATAGGGAGAATGAGGTGCGAATTCAGAGGGAGGGTGAGAGGCAAATGAAAACATGTATCGGCCTGCAATTATAGCAATTGATTACCAATTTTAGAACAAATTCGCTCAAAATGTGCCAGTCCTGTAAAGTTTTGATGGGAATTCTTGAGATTTGTGTTAACTGGATGCTCTTATTGTGTAGCCTTTGCTAATTGCAGCTGTTTTCGTGGACTATATTTGGAACAAGCGCTCCATTGCACAGAGATGCTCTTGTTTTTAGGATGACATTTATTTTAGGCTTTTAAATATTGTTTCTCTGTGATAACAAATGATTGCCTTTTTTTTTAATGACCCCCACAAAGGCCTTATTAGTTTAATAGATGTTCTCCCACATAAAGGCCATACTTGGTGCATTAAGATTGGTCCGCCTTATCAAATTAATTTGGACTACTCAGTTTCTTTTGTTTAATTTTCTATATGCATATAAAAGGCATGCTATTTGTTTAAACAGATTCTTTCTTGCTCGGTGCATGCAGTAAATCCCTGACCCTACTGCAAAGTTGATCTTCTGCTATTACAGTGCATTATAATAATCCTGTACAAATCTGCGTCGAAAATAACAGAAATTCAACACCATCTCCACGTGAGAGCATTTGCTTAGGCCTTTGTGTAGCCTGTTTGATTGGATACATGTTTACATATTGTTTCGTTCTAGTACAGGGCATGAGAGGGTGTACACAAATTTAGCATAAAGTATTGGTATGGAGGATTGGCTGGAAGGAGGCATATGGCTGTTAAAATGGGCCATTTTAAATCTTGGCATTTCCCCCATTTTATTTTATTTTTTAAATATCTGCTAATGAATTAGTAATTGGTCACATATGTGCTATGTTTGTTGTCCATGTTGTGTTTTCCTCAACTCGTTTAAATTCACTACAATTTCCTCAAAACAACTATTACAATTATTCAACTTGAAAGATGTGGTTTCAGAGCTTTGCAGAATCATATTAATATGCGCAAATGTATTTCCCCAAATGAGAAACTCCAGGGGCGTGGGTGCAGATTATAGACTTGCCCGGTCATGTTCCTCAGTAATAGCGCACCTGGACCCCGCGGACGTGTTCGCGCGTGTGCCAGCGCGTGCGTCACGGTTCGTGTGTGTGTGTGAGTGTTTGCGGGCGCGCGGAGGAGGGGAAGTGACGGGGACACCCCTCTTTGGTTTTGTTGATAAATGTTCTACACTTTGGATTGGATTTTATTTCTGACTTGAGGTTGACTGGAAGTTTACTTATGTATTTATTTATGAGGTGTTTGAAATATATTAAAAAAAATCACACCGCTATTGATACAAAATGGTGCTAAATTATGTCAGAGACATGAGGTGGCAATCAGGTTGCAGGGTAATTAACGGATTTAAAAAAAAAAGAGCTTGAAGGGCCTATTAGAGCACAATGCCTATAATTTTTCTTCAGTGATTTTAAATATCATACCTAATTAAAGTGATTGTATTTGTTCTTTAAACAATCAGTGAAAATGAAATTCAAAGACTGAATTTACTTTGTAAATTAATTAGCAGTGAATATAATCCACCTTAACATATTCTTTAACACACAGGCCTACTGAAGGCCTATTCTGAACCTTGAATTCAAAATCCAATTTATTAAACAAAATAAAAAAGGATTTGTGTGACATTTAAACTTAATTTGAGATGTGTCAAGCAATAAGGTGATCCCTCACCCTGGCACACTTCGTCCTCTCCACTGTTCACCCGCTACGAATAGAAATATGCAACCCCCCCCTTCTCCCCCCCCCACCCAGTCCAATTCCCTGTGCTTCCTTTGCAAGGCTGCACAATTAAAGCTGCAATCTGAGCTATAGGCAGCACTCAATGACAAAGCTGTGTGGTCGACACAGGGGTGCCAATCATTACTCAGGCAGGGCACAGGCCTACATTTTTTTACCAGCTGAAACATGGCATTATTTAATTTTTCAAAGACACCCATCTTAAAGAGGGTTAAAAGAGTAATAGTGAGTTCTCTGTGTGATTTTTGTTGTAATTTGCTTCTTTCAGGGGTCATACACAACTCTGATTTATTTTTAAAATGAGTGAACTGTGCTCCAACAAATACACAAATGTCTTATAAAGAGGCTTTTTTGGCTATTTCCTTTTAAAGAAATGTTTTTATAAAAATCTAGTTTAATGATTACTCCAAAAACTTGCCTTGCATCTTTTATACTTTCACCCGAAAAACCAGCAATTAAATTGAAAGAAAATGTAAGTTATTCTTCTGAAATTAACATGGATAAAATATCCGCACACACATCTCCATCAATGTTGTTGCCTAACGGTGGGCAAAGTGTGCTGGTGTAAGACCGTCAGCAGAGGAACGGAGCTCATTGCACTTCCCAGCTCTCCAATAGGATGCCACAGCTCTGTCACTGGCATCCCTGCTCTCCCATTCGTCCTCAAGTCTATCATAAATCCCAACGAGATTATGAATAAGAACTAATCATTTAAAACGACGACAACAAAAAGACGTAAATGAACACCGTCAATGGTTAAAAAAAATGTTTTTCCCAGCCAGAACTGCTCAAATGAACTGAACCCCCTCCAAATTGTATTGGATGCTTGGGCTGCACATTTTCAGAAGGAGGGCGCGTTCAGCAAATGTCAAATCTCTGAAGCAAGTAGTTGTTTTTGTTGGATATCTCTCCCTCTATCTCCATCTCTCTCTCCATCTCTCCCTCCCTCCATCGCTTCCTCTCGCAGTAACTCCCCTCCCTCTCTCTCCCTCATCACTAGGCAGAATTAAAGGCTGGGGGAGGGGCAGTTTATGCAGACTGTGCTGGGACTTGTGATCCACAGATTTGATATTCACATTAAGAGAGAAACTGGCTGCTTTGATGTGAGGGGGAGCAGGTCCCAGGGGATTGCTGAAGTAGCACACTTTTTTTTACTGACACAGCACAGGCCGGGGGGGTGTTGGTGGTGGTTGGGTGGATGGGGTGGGGAGCAGATTGTTGGGGACAGGGTGTACAGAAAGACAGTAGGTGGGGAGTGGCGATACCCCTTCGTTGATTAGATGTAACCCTGACAACCTTCCCCCCTACTCACCACCTACTTATGCCAGACCCCTGAGGATTATCCATAAGCTTACACCTATCTTCAGCCCCTTGCATCCAACCAATATTCAATTGACACCCCTTCGTGTGGCGCGTCTCCTCCCACTTCCTCCTCCTCTGCTGCTGCTGTACGTTTCCACAATCATCTTATCAGAAACGCAACTTTCTGTCCCAGAAACACCTGAAGAGTGAACAGGAGTTACAGACTTGTTGGAACGGAATAGCAAGGGCTCGAGGAGAGAAGGCAGAGACTATTCTCATGTGCTTATGGCCAGAAGTTGAATCCCACTTTTGACCTTTACCACACTTACTGCACTGAATCCAATAAAGATGAAATGCTGTTAAGGTTTTATTTTACCATGGTAAAGAATTAGATGGACTGAGAGAGGTGAGAGAAGAAGAGCAGGAACATGTGGAGGTATTATGCCTCTGGCCGGGCTCTGGGTGAGAATGTGTGTATGTGAAACAGTGAGGGGCTTATGGTGTTTGTTTACCTCCTCATCACAATACAGTTGTGAGCGTCAAGGGTTTGTGTGTGTGTGTGTGTGTGTGTGTGTGTGTGTGTGTGTGTGTGTGTGTGTGTGTGTGTGTGTGTGTGTGTGTGTGTGTGTGTGTGTGTGTGTGTGTGTGTGCACTCCTGTGCGCACTCACATCCTGGAGAGGCGTAGATCAGCTGCATTATGCATGATGAAACCTTGCATAGGTTATGACTTCTGCCTCGCCGACATACATATTCATGCGCGGCTCTCTGGCAGGATGTATAAAATAGTGGCTGCGAATCTGACAGCCTAAGCAGCGCCGTCAGGGCTCCAACACCCTTTTCTCTCCGGGGCTGTGTCTGAAAGAAAAAGAAAAGCCCACTGGGTGCAGGTGATCTGCTGCATCAGCAATATCAACGCAGGGGCCCTCATGACTTTGGTCAATACTGCCATCAGGGCCCCGACCGTCCTGCAACCGCTGCTGGTGTTCGATCTTTATGAGAAAGGTGACACCATGGGTTTGGGATGTTGTTGCTGAAATTGTTTAAGCCTACTTGCATATTGTGTTGTAAATAAGTCAATCAGCTGAGATCAAAGTGGACCTGGAACGATGTGTTAATTATTAATCGCCTATTAATAACTGCCGATTTAACGATTGTTTAATTGTTTTTAATCCTCAGTTTCTAGATTCCCCCTCTTGAGAGGATTTGACACTTTTCTTAGCTTTTGAATAATTTTAAACAGAATATCTTTGTGTTTTGGACTGTTTATTTGACCAAACAAGACGTGAAGATTTAGAGTCTGGGAATTTTCCTTTAGCTTTGCCATTTTGTGAATTGAAAGGAAATTGATGGAACTTGAAGTTGTGGATAATAAGGAAGGGACCATTCAAGAGTGAGAAAGCACTCACTGTATAACTGTCAAGCAGTGTGTGTAATATGTTGAATTCCAAGAGGTGTTAAAAAAGGTTACCTGCTGTGTGTTGGGTGTAGTGGCTAGTCTGCAATCATGATTGGTTTGACAGAATGAAAACCTTTCCACAGGATTTCGTGGCATTCCTCTATCAAAACTGTAATCCATTACGCCAAAGATCCCTATCCAGCAAAGGTTCTGTAAAAAAATGGCCCATGGAAATGAAACTCCATTATGCCACAGTTCAATATAATGGTTGAAAGATTTAGAATCGTTTAAGATATATTTGTTTTTAAATGGATCTGTTGGTAAATTGCAAAACTAAACTGTATTAACTTGACATATAGTTGATTTGTCGATTGGTTAGACCTTACCTAAGCAGGGGAGTACTTCCCTGTTCTGATGCACTTGAGGTCATAATGGAAACATTTGATCATGGTGATGTGTTTAAGGTAACATATCAGATAGTTTCAACCTAATGAACATGTTGAAAAACTGTGCATTAGGGTGATGCAACTGGCCCAACTTGAAATCCATTTTTAACGTTTGGATTCAGCCATGACAAAGATGTATTTACCCTGCAGTCTCGGTCGTTTATCTCATGTGGCCTTTTCATGTCTTGCCACAAAATCCGTCTGTGCAGGTTGGCACAGGCAGCATGTAATGTTTCGACCGTTGGTTTTAAATGGAGTGGAAAGTCTGCAAGTCTGGCACAAACCAGGATGTTGCCAGTTGAGTTTTGGAGCGTGCCCATTGTGACGCGACTAACCACGCCTAACCTAAACATCCGTTTTGAATCCTCTTTCTGACTGTCTTTGGTATGTCAGGCATTTACACACTATATTCTAGCAGTGGTGGACGAAGTACTGACATATGTGACATATTTTACTTTTCTTCAATAAAAGTAGCAACACAACCATTAAAATACTCAAGTACAAAAAGTCCTGTATTCAAAATCCTGCTAAATATAAAGAATATTGGCACAAATACATACCGAAAAGGCCAAAAGTAAAAGTACTCATTTTACGAAACGGCCCATTTTAGAATATACAAAATGCAATGTTTGTGTTGTAATGATCAAAGTATCCTGATTCCATCACTGACTTTAAGCAATCTATTGGCATTTACTCTAAAATAAACACTTTTTGCATAAGCTCATCCAACTTTATGCCATTTAAAACATACCTGCTCACTTTTATCGCAACACGAAATATTTGAGCCACTGACAAAATTTGGTGACTTGAAATGTCTAAATTTAGAATGTTCAGTGGGTCAGTGTTGTTGGGTTAAATTGTTGCATTGTTCTTTATCCATTGACAGCTTTCAAGTGCCAGCGCCACCATGGCAACCCGCTTTGTCTCCTCCCAGTGTGAGTGCTTTTGGAGTGTGTATGTGTTTATGTGTGTCTGTATGCGTGTGTGTGCGGGGTGAGTTTCACCTGGTTTTGACAGTAGTGGTTTGCTCTGATCCCTTTTCTATTCTACTTCCCGCTCCATCAGTCCCAGTGCTCCCCAGCCCCCCAGTGCCCGGGCCCCCAGGCCATATAATCTACTGTATGAGAGGTTCTCCTGCTGCCCAGCCCCCCTGGGCGCTCAGGGTGACCCCCTCACTCCTCCACTTCAGTCCTGTCCCCCCATTGGGAGATTATAGATATTGCACTCTTTAATATGGGCTTTATGCTCAGGGGCCATTATCAGTAATCTGCAGAGGGGAGGGAGTCTGACCTGGTTTTTGCAGCCCACCACTGGACTGCCAGACACATTTTCATATACCATCTGTAACATTCTGCACAGCTTTATCAATCTCTAGTCTACAAGGGAAAGTATGAAAGGAGGCTGGAATGGTCACCAAACCCTCCTGGATGGGAGAGGTCACTGGGTCTGCTGTGACCTGCTGCTCTGGGACACTGTTGATGGTGGTCATTCATTCTGTTGCGATTTATGTATTTGTCACCCAATGCTATAAGCCACACTTCATTAATGACATGTCCTAAACAAAGATTATATGTTTGGTGACACGATATTTGCTCTCACTCCTGATTACTTGTGTCTGGTGTTAGTGCTCCAGAAGGTCACATCTGCTGGACTTTGTTAAGTTTGGAATATTGATGCAGAATCGCTGCTCTCACTGATTTTTTCGATTTGAACTCCTTCGGATATTCTGCTTTGTGATCTTGTGATATTCTCCTAACATTGTGAAAACAGGGATATTTGATATTTTCTAAATGATGTAAACAAGACCAACAGTTGACTGGTAAAGCACAAGTACCATCATAAAGAGGATGCTGATAATGACACATATTCTGTTAATCCATCTGAGTATTTACACCTCTACCTGCAGACCTTTAAGATGTCTGTCTGACTGACCTCTGAGTAACAGAAGGTTATAATGTTTCTATTTACCGAGCAAACAACTGTGATTGGTGATACTGCTTTGGTGAAGTCGGGAAACAGATAATCTGGACCATGGGGCGGGGTGAACACCTTGGTGTGAGAAAAACAATTAGTCCATTTTCAATTACTCAATTGACAAAAGTAAAACTACCACCACTTTGATGATCAATTCATCATTTTCAAGGAACATTGTTGTTCTAGCCTCTTAATTTCATTGAGTGTTGGTCGAACAAAAACAATGATTTGATGGTCTCTCCCTTTGTTCATCTCATAGACCAAAATGATTCATGGATTTATGAAAATGTAAACAAATAATCATATGATGCAACAATTAATTTTTGAAAAATAATACATTTGGTATTAAGTTATTCAATGTTTTGCAGTCATATTTCTAGGTGAATATTTCATGAGATTTTTGTGACATTCTGTGCTGAACTGTGAGATGTTGGACATATTATATTTACAAAATGTTTACAGGATAGAATAAATGATTAGAACTGTTTTGAAACCGCAATAAACTGTTTTCAAAAAGATACAGAGTAAGCATTAAATATAAAAAGCCAAAAGACCACTTTAAAAAACCTGATGTCACCACCACTGAAGTTTGGTCTAAAGTATGTTTTTGCACCATGTCAATGAAAACAATTAAATCATTACATTTAATTACACTCAATCAGTTAAATATATAATAGCAAAATATCCAAACTTGTAGATTCTACTGAAGTGTTTCATCTATATAAATCTATATATAAATATTGACTTTAAAAGAAATTCAGCTCTTTTAACAAACATTATTTAATAGGCAACACAAATACATTTGATCCTTCTTTACAAAAAGAAGAAATAAACACATTGAACCACAGTAAACCGACGGCTAATTTCATCCAATTTGGATCCAAACCATGGCTCCTTCAGTATCTGTGTGTATCCTCCCTGATGTGTCTGACTTTCTGGGCTGAACTGAACGTTAACAGTGTGACCATGTGTTGCAGTGGTGTTGTATTAGATATCATTTTGATTTGGTGGTTAACGTCCACATCTGTCCATCAGCAGTGTCCCCCCCACACTTCTTTCTCTTCTAATCTTCTCTAATATGACCCCACATTTGAGAGTGTCTCCCCTCCTCCTTCCCTCTTCTCACTCTCCTTCTCTACTGGAGCTGTATGTGTTTAATCTGAGTGCCAATGAAGAACATTCCTGCATGTGAGTGTGTTCGTGCATGTGTGTGTTTGTGTGTGTGTGTGTGTTAAATATGTAAGGAGATTAAATAGACTTAAATCTCTGCGTCTGGCATAGAAATTCCAATCACATAACCTATCATGGAGTTGCCTCTCTGTGTCTTTGTTTGTGTGGATACACACTGTACGGAGGTAACAGGCTCCTCCTCCCTCCGATCCATCTAAACCATCACAGGCTTTAGCCCAAATCCCTGGCTTTCTGGATCACATGACTGATGTTTGCAGCTGGACATTTGACATATATTTGTTATGATTATTTTGCAACACATTTGAAGGACATCCCACTCTGTCCATTTTATTGTCCATTAATGTGATGCCGATAGCTTCAATTGTGGAATCCTGTTTGTTGGTGTATATATATGTGTGTGTACAGCACATGCCTCTCACCTTCACCTTGGCCTGTTATTTAGTTGTGTTCTGCTGTCTGTTTGCCCCCACAGTACACAGTGAGGATGTGGGCTCCACCAGGCTGTACTTTGTGAATGCCTCCCTGCAGAGGGTTACCTACTCCAGCTCGGTGGGGGTGTCCCTGCCCTGTCCAGCAGGCGGCACCCCCAGTGCCATACTGCGCTGGTACCTGGCCACCGGCGACGACATCTACGACGTGCCCCACATCCGACACGTGCACGCCAATGGAACCCTGCAGCTGTACCCCTTCTCGCCCTCCGCCTACAACAGCTACATCCACGACAACGACTACTTCTGCACGGCCGAGAACCAAGCCGGCAAGATCCGCAGCCCCAACATCCGCATCAAAGCTGGTGAGTTGGGATTGTGGTCGGGAAGCGGAATGAGCATTGGTTTTCCCACCTTTGTTGTCGAAGTAATCCCATTCACACAAGCACTGTTTTAAAAAGAAAAGTCTCTGTCCAGATGAAAACACAAATGGTTAGGATGCCCCCACACACACCAGTGGAAGTCTGACCACTCTGCTTCTCATATATAGGCCAATTAAAAGCAATGGTACAGTGTTGTGTACACATATAAAAAGTCCATCAGAATACTTTATTCATCCCCGAGGGGAAATTAGATTTTGGAATAGATGCTCAATTTTGTAATAAAATACAAAAATGGACATTGTACTATAATATATAACAACAATTTGGATGTATATTTGCCGTCAACAAATGTTGCCTCGTTTGTGTTGCCTTACAAAAGAGATACAGGTGCACACCCAGATGTTTCAAGCTAAAACATGGCTTGAGCTTTCCAAAAGATTCCTTTTTAGGGATCTTCTATGCTGATTGGGTGTGGACGAAAGACCATTGCTCGTTTTAAAAAAGAAACCTTCACAAAGATACCCATGTACTTGAGGACTAGGCCTAAGTGTGAAGTAAGACGTGTTATTGAGATGAAAAAGTGATGTTGAAGATCACAAGGCCAAATTGAGACACAACATGATGAAGAAGTGAGAAAAACAACATAGTTGTGAAAGCATAAAATCGAGCAGATGGGATTGGCAGCTTCAAAAGAAAGCCGCGCCCACACGGAGTCACCTGGCCTAAAATAGTGCGTCTCCACCTGGACACAGATTGACCCAGAACACAGTCTTCAGAGGAAACCTCTGCATCAGATACTACACCAGGCCTCGCCTCCGCTCACACCTTTTTGACTGAGCTGGTGGTGAACCGCTGCACTTTATACCAACATAACCCCATCAGCTCCATCTACAGCATGGCACCATCTGTTAGGACGAAATCCAGAGCACAACCCCTACAGCACTTAGAGTTAAGTGGCAACTTCAATGTGATTTTAGATGATATAACCACATCAGATGAGGAAGGAGAAAGGGTGACAATAGGTTAGATCACATCACCGCATCATCCTCATTGACACACTTCCACTTTTTAAAAGGTCAGTACAAGTAAGTATAACCAGGAACTTGACGGCCACTGGGATATTGTTTTCGAGGAATGCTTTTTAAAGCTTTGAGAGGTGAGAAAAGTAACTCCACACCTAGTGATAAGGAGATATGGTTTGTGTGAGGGACCCTTTTTACAGCTAATGGAATCTCAATTTGTTAACTCATAATGTTTAAATATACTGTTACCATACATAAACATATATCTCAGACATTTGTTTCTGACATAAAAGAGAAAACAATTATTATTATAAGGTGTCCTTAGAGAACATAAATAATCAATTAATTAACACTAGCAGCTATAATAGGTAGGCTATTTTTAGACTTTTTGACCAAAAGCTGCCTCTGTTGCCATCATATTCTCTTTTCTGTCCTCCTCCTTCTCCCTGCTCCATCGTTCTTCAAACTGTCCTCTTGTGCCAGACTAAAAATAGCCACAGCACACTTCTTTAATTATCTCTCATTAACCAACCTAATTGGCGCTTTCCGTTGATTGGACCGCGCGAGGCTGCTTTAATAAGCCAGACCTCATCTAGAGTAAAGCGGTACGTCTGGGGGTCTGGGTTCTTGCAGCAGATACTTCACCAAACAGTTACATCAAAACGCAGCTGGAACAAAAGCTGCAGCTGGATGTTAGTTACACTGCATCTATTGTCCCGCCCCCTCCTCCATCCCATCATTCGCTCAGGCCGGTCGGTCCCTCCCCCCCTTCCCTCCTGCCATCAACATCTGTTTTCATATTCTGCCTCCCAACACCGACCTGAACTAATACTCATATTCATTCTAATACTAATACAAGCGCCAAGTATAGGATTTGAGCCAGGGCCCTGAGCTGCATGCCAGCCGGTTGCTGCCTTCATTCCCACATGACCCAAAAGCCCGGCCTCGGGAGACGAGGGATTAGCATGAACCAAACATCCTGCAGCCAGCGGCCTCTGTCGGGCCGCGGCAGCGCTGGTGCACAGGTTACAGGCCAGACAGGATGCGGCCGCTCTATCTCCGGGTTCAGTCCCGTGGTCGTGGTGTTTAATAATTAACAGGGGTCTCATTTGAATCACCTTCACGGCCAACAATCAATTTTCAAACGCATTCATTGGTTGTTTCATTCCATGTTATTCCAGGAGAACCCGACAGATCTGCATTATTCCGCTCATTTGTTCAAAGAAGATGTAAATTTCCGTGCACTTGCATGTGTTTCCCCCTCGCAGCGGGCATGTATGCATGCTGCCATCGTGTCTGTTACCAGGGAAGGGATTCCGAACCAGTTTCTTAGCAACCTTCGGATACGTCCTAGCTTTCATGTGATTTTGCTAATGAGTCCCTGCTCATTCACCAGAGTGTAAAATATTGCATGAACCTGCATAAACTGAGCCCCAAAAAAGCCTTTAGTTTACTTTGAATGTGCGGCTCACTCCGTCGCATCCTTATGAAGTTCTGTGTTAAAAAAACAGAAAAAAGAAAGACAAATGTGTTTTTGAGATGACGCCATGCCACAGCTAGGAAATCATTTCCATGATTATCCCGCTTAATGGCGGCTTGCACCATTTATGGTGAGAGCGGAGGCAAAATTTGAAGAGTTCAAACGACGAAGAGTAGGCCAGTAATTTCCAATGAATAAATGTGGAGTACTGTGGTAATTGATGAAAGGGCGTTTTGTCTCTGGAGTGTTAATGTGTTGTTTTTGATCATGTAAACACGAGTAGATTATTATTTCTGTCAAAACAAAAAGGCTTACATTGTCGTCATGGTCATCCATCGCCAATATATCTTCTGGATAGGTGATGGAGAATATTTGTGTAGATATCTTCAAATAGTGACAATATGTTAACAAAAATCCTGGCTGGTAAGAATTAACACCATCATTTACACCTAAAATATTGATCTTGAGATATCTGAATGTGATTTGTGTGTCTTCTGTAGTTTTTAGGGAGCCCTACACGGTGCGGGTGGCGGACCAGCGCTCTATGCGGGGAAACGTAGCCGTGTTCAAGTGCCTCATCCCCGTGGCTGTGCAGGAGTACGTCAGCGTCGTGTCCTGGGAAAGGGACACGGTTTCCATCGTACCAGGTAGGTCATCACATGAGTGACTCTGGATTATCCTGGGGGTGGGCAGATTGATTCATTTCATAGGATTTAGGTATGTCTTTATCTCCTGTGTGTGTGTGTGTGTGTGTGTGTGTGTGTGTGTGTGTGTGTGTGTGTGTGTGTGTGTGTGTGTGTGTGTGTGTGTGTGAGCTTTTGTGTGAGCGGATGCACCGCTGTGCTTCATGTTTGACCGAACTCTTAACTCGTGTCTTCTGTCTGCTCACTGTTCTGGATCACTGAACTGGTCCTCCTCCTCCTCCTCCTCCTCCTCCTCCTCTCACTATCCTTCGTCTTCCTCCACTTTTCACACACATTTCCCACTGCTTTACATCTCCTCAGATACATTTCTCCCCCTAATGTCACGTCCTGCCTTTAATTGTGATTGACACTGCATTAGATCTCTTCTAAGTCGCATGACTATTCCATAGTTTCTCCTCATCATATCTATTCCAGTCCTCTTCCTGCTTTTCTTAACACCACGTCCTTGAAGAACAGGGCCACAATTATAGAGACATAGGATGTCAATAGGACGGTGCCCCCACATTCATCTTCATTAACCTCATTTGTGTGTGTGTGTGTGTGTGTGTGTGTGTGTGTGTGTGTGTGTGTGTGTGTGTGTGTGTGTGTGTGTGTGTGTGTGTGTGTGTTTCAGTCTCATCTGTTTTAGTTGTTTGTGAATCCATTATAAGTGTTTTATAATGTGAGTATATATTTTGTGTAATGTTTATTTTCTGCGTAAAGTATGCTCGCAATAACAATAGGAGAGAGGGATGAGAGGTAGAGGAGGAAATCCACCAAAGGAGGAGAAGCAAGGAGGGTAGTAGGGCAAGAACGGCCTCAGGTCCTGCCAGATGGCGTTTTATATTATATGTATGCAAAACACACCCAGTGTCACACATTCACGTGCACCAAGGATGCAGTAGTTTGTTATTGTCAGACATTTTTGTGTTTAAAAAAAAAACCTTTTCAGTTTCACTTACAGAATAGTAGTGTTTTACTGTACTTTTTATCAAATGATGTCTTCAGTTGTCCTGGCAGATCAATAAACACATTTCAACACAAAAAACACCAAAACATTGTATCAAATAAATTACATTTCTGATCAATGTATAACATCAATTTCAGTTTTTTAACACATTCTCCTGTTTTTCACATCCAACAATTTTATTTTAGAAAAACACAGACACCAACCAGCTACTTTATGTTAAAATTAAAATAGATTTTAGTGTTTGTTTTCTAATGCTTTTTTAAATATACACATATTTTATTTTATTTTTTGATCTGCTGTTTTCACTTTAAAAATCAGCAGTAACAGTTCTCTATTCCCTCTGCAGTCACTGTCATGGTTCACAGTGCCCTCCTATACGTTTCCTCAACATAAACACTGCTTTGGATGTGCCAGTCCTGTGTGTGTATATGTATTTTTATGCATGGGGTGTTGCTGTGTGGGCTGTCATGAGGCTGCTGTGTGTAATTAGGGGTATATAGGTCAGTTGATGAGCAGTGAGTGTGAGGATCAGATGTTGAACATGATGAGCTGCTCACTGAACTTTCGTTTCCCTGCGACAGCGGCGCACACAAACGCAACTCGCGATATGGTCGTGTTCAACCTTGACCCGCGACCTCCACGCTAATCAACACAGCAACCTCGTCGTCCTCTCAGCCAATCACTGCAGTCGCTTATCTGCAGCATAACCTCTAAAACACAACACGTCTGCAGAACGGTTCATAATCTGAATAATGTGAGTGCACTCTCACATGGATGCACAGCAACTACACACATACAGTGAATATCAATATACAGTGGGTACATTTGGTTATATAAACATTATTGATGCTGATATCCAACTTCTCAGTTAACCCTCTCTTCGAGTAGCTCAAACATCAGCCGTCAAACTCTCTTTTCTACCTCTACAACCTACTTGGCCAGCAAAGGACTGTCTGGACAGGTCTAATGAAGATGTAAAAATGAAAATGGATTTTTTTGAGTGAGAGGGTGTCGGCTTGCTGTCACTTTTATTTGCTGTAGAAACGCAGCGGGAAGAGTTGCAGTTTATTTTGAGTGAGTGAATCCATACATGTTATGGTTGTGCACACCTGTCTTTTCTAATCAAAGACTTTCATTCCATAATTTTCCGTACATGCTTGTTCCTTTTCCTGGGCTTTTCCCAGGAGAGAGAGACAATCACATTGACTTCACTGACTTGCATGTCTGTCTCTGTGGTGACAAATACTCTGCCTGGAATATTGCCTGGTTTTGTATTGATAAAAAGGGATATTGTCTGCTGAAATCCACTGCAAACAGCAAGTCAAAGCACTCAACCATCACTGAATTAAATGGGATGGTTTCTATTTTCCAGCTGCAAGTGTGTGAACAAAGGATTAGTGCTGGAGATTTCATTAGTTTCCAAACATAGATTTTGTTTACAGACGTGTTTGTTTACATTGCAGGTGCCTTCTATGAGAGGTATTGATGGCTTAATGTCATCTACCTTTTTAGAGGGACATTTAAACCATCACAGTTCCTTCCTCTGTGTCTCCTCACTGATTCCTCACCCTCAGAATTAAAAAAATAAAAAGATCAGAAAAAGGGCTATGGGTGTAAATCACAAATGTCATCACGATACAAAATAGTTTGACAACAATACCGGATATTATATTTGACAATAACTGCCACAATATGATTTTGTTTTGGTTTGGATCAAGGGTCACCGGTTGGTACCAGAGGATATCTTATGGCCAATTAACAAAATCAATTAGAATTAAATCAACACGCAAAACTTGCAACTAACTGTATTGTTACTCCCAACTCGTAAAACGTAATTTTCTACGCCACCCTCACCACATACCTGTGCCTTTGCACGGAGGAATCGCTGTGTATCAGCAGCCTGATCACATACTAGTCTGAAGGTTGAGTTGATGACATAACATAACGCAGCCATGCCCTCTGAACCCCAACAGGTTCCATTTATTCAAACACACGTCACCCATCTGGAGCCGTGTGTGTGTGTGTGTGTGTGTGTGTGTGTGTGTGTGTGTGTGTGTGTGTGTGTGTGTGTGTGTGTGTGTGTGTGTGTTTATATGTGTGTCCCCTTCCCTGTCCCACTTTCCTGTCCAGGCAGGACAGTGAGAGGCTCTAGGAGGGGAGGGGTGCAGGCAGACTGACCTATTTCCCTCTCACTTCCCCGTCCCATGCCATCTCTGTAGTTAAGCTTTGTGTGGGTGTGTGACCCTCATGAGACAATGGAAGCCTGCGAGTCTGAGCAGTGATCTGAAGGAGGAGAGCTGGAGCGCAGACAGAGAGATGGAGGGTCTATGGACAGGAATGAAAAACAACAGTGGGACACGGGGAGGGTTCAGCCTGCAGATCGAAGCGTCAGTCTAACCAGCAGAAAGCTAATGAGAGGCTCCGATGAATAAAGACTGGACCAGCAGATGGCTGCGGCCACATGGTGGTCCATAGAAGATGCCCAACCATGCTCCATCTCATCCACCTGCCACACAGTTTGGCCTTGTGCATGTGTTTGCACAGTCATTTAATAGACATGCCCATAAAACCCAGAGATGAAAAGGTATAATAGAAGGAAACAATAGCAATTTATAGATAGACTGCACAATAAATGAACATTATATCAAAATGTCAATATTTGCTAGTGCAATACTCAAACTGCAGGAAGCAAACTATTTGTTAAAAGGAAACCATGTGTTAAGAGATACAATATTATTGTGGAGCTGAGGAGATATACCAACCTATAGATCGCCTTAACAAAATATATTTCCAGGTTTTGTACAGATAGTTTAAAAAAAAATCACACCATATGATTTAAATACATTTTCAGTGATAATGAAAATTATGATGCAAAAATGATCAACCCCGAAATATCCTGAATCAAATTGATATGCACCTATCTTCTCAATTTGTCTCCATACTGCCACTCCATCCTTTCTTTGTTCCCTTGAGGTCAAATTACACAATGCACACAAGTGTTTTGCATGCATATAGTCCATTAACAGATGCTGCTCCTCTCCACATTTCCAGAAATCTGGGAGGGAAGCTGTATTCGATCTACTCAGTCTAGTTAAATCCCTGTTGTATTGAAAGTAAGGCCGGGTGAACCTGTGTTTAACCTGTCAGTGTGTAAGTGCTGAGTTATCAGGCCTTATTGTGAACTTGGATCCTAATGGGCGTCACCGGGTGGTGAGGTCACTTACAGGCTACATTACAGATCAATCTTCTGCCCCTGGGGTCCCTGCTGGAAGTCAAGCGGTTCAACAGACACACACGCATACACACAAATGGCTTTAATTGGAAACACCTGGAGAGTTGAGGTTATATATTTTGTAGGATAGCAAAGTTACAATAGCTAAACTGATTAGTTTGCATTCACTTGAGTTTGAACATGATGAATTGAGTGGTGCGCCATCCCTCCACTTTTGGTTTGAAGGACTTCATCACTGTGTATTAACTAGGCTGCACCTATAGCTACTTTTTTAATCGATTAACCTACTGATTGTTTTCTTGCTTTGGTATTGTCTAAAAGAAATGTCTGCAAAATGTCTGTTAAAATTACCACATTGCGAAAGGGACTCCAGAGAAAAATATAAAATCATCACAAACCAAAAGACGGAACTAGCCAGAAAAAAATCTAAATATGAGTAATAGATTATCAAAAATAGTTGGCAATCTATTTTCTATCGACTGATTTTAGAGAATATAAACTTTATTTATCCCCGTAACGAAATTGCGAAAGTGTCATAGCAGCAAGAGCAATAACAGTTAAACAGAATTGGTCAAGTATTTATGAATTAATTGACTATTTGCATGTCGTAAGCACATTCTTTTAATCAAGGATTAGGACGATTTAGTTTTATTTTGTATCAAGAAAATAGCTGGCCAAATACCTAATTAAAAAATATATATATGTTGAGATATTCAAAGCTACTGGCAATTGTCTTCTTCTTAATGAAGTGTATAATAAAGT